GGCCTCCTGGATGAACTCAAAAGAGTATCTTAAAATGTCTTTCTTTTTCAAGGATATCTTACTGAAGTAGTTTTTAATTTCCCGGAGTTGCTTCAAGTTGTTCTCTGAATCAATTTTAGAGAACCCTGCTTGATTCTGGTGAATAATTAACTCCGAGAGAATGCAGCCGTATGCTGTTAGCCTAAGAAGTCGTATTGAGTCTGCCTCCTCTTTGAATGCTCCGTCTGGGGAGACTATGGTTACTCGAAGTATCTTTTCCACACTCAACAAATTTTGCTTAGCACTCTGAATGCAATCTCTGTATAGCAGATGCTGAAGCTGTTGTAGAGAGTGCTTTGCAACGTCACCACAACCTCGGCTGCTGCTTAGGTAGGCAAGAACCCTGTATACTTCAATGTTGTTATCACCAGATTTGCCCCACAATTCTCGTTCCAGGTATGGTAAAATAACTCTAAGTATGAAAAGTTCTTTTTCTTCCTTCTGCGAACCAGCACAGGTGTCCATTTCCCGAACGAACTTCTCTGGATTTTCAAGAAAAAATTCGACAGACCACTGAAAATCATTTTCACCTGTTAGAGCATAACAATAGAAAACATTAGGATCAGGATAGCAATGTTAATTCAAACACTGAGCAAATGACAGTGTCCTTAAACCACAAAAGTCTTAATGTCTTAGCAGCTGTTCTTGCAATGTTACCTTTCTGGATAAGAATTCCATTCATTGGTTTTGGAGTCCAGTCTCCCACATTTGTTTGCTGATAATAAATGCGGGGAGAGTACTCTTCCTCATTATGCCTTACGTAGTAACTGATTCCTCGATCAATTTCACGGTTTTGTGTGAAGCTAGAGTTTTCGTCTTCTTCTGAAAGGATAAAGAAATGGCCAAGTTTTTAAAATGAAAACTGTGTACAAAGTATAGTGAACAGAATATTCCTGTTAACGATCATTAACTTTATATTAAAGTTTCCAAAATATTACATAGAAATTAGTTACAAAGAAACTGTACCCGTTGTTTGGTTCACTGGAACACCATTAATGAGTGCATTAGGGCCGACTGCCACGGTACCACCTCCCTTTACATCGACCTTGTAATTTCTGACGAAAACTTTGCAGCGTCCGCATGGCACGGCTAAAGAGAGGATTTAAGAAGAGTTTTGCTTGGATCTTAATCATTTCAGCTACATGTATAATTTACAATCAATGACCGTTTCCTTCGTGCATCAAATCACGATTTCACATTTGAACAAGAACTTTGAGCGATGCAGCATACAAGGAATAAAAAAATGCATGAGTAGTTGTATTTCGGTATTTGAATACTACTCCACGTTTGTCTTACACTAAAAAGGGGCCTAATAACAAAGAAAAACCAGTTGCTCTGCATCCTTACCAGAAAGTTCTCCAGAAACACTTCCATAACTTGAGTCGCTGGTATCTTTAAAAGAAAAAGCAATATGACTATGAGATAATGTGCATGGTTTCATCAATTGAGTTGAGAATTAATTTGGCCAGACGTTTAGAGCGCTGGGCTTTCGTCAAAGCAAACTGCCTTGCTCAATCAAGCACGCAGTCTAATTTTCCGCATAATAAGCTACTTGTTTGATTAGAAGAGATTGGGTTGATAGCAACTTCATAAACAAGTTTGGTTCCCCGCGAACTTTTCCGTTAATGATCTACTGATACTATCGCAATGAGATTAATGGAATTCAGAAAGGCAATATAAACAATAGTCCTCGTGAACGGGACCCAATTGCCACAGAACTGGCCTTAATCGAACATTGGGAATCTTCAAGAAATGACTTCATGAATAAACAAGAAAATGTACACAGGGAATGCTTGTTGTGCTTAATTGATTTGATAATCTTTTCGCGCTGAAAACTTCGATTAAAACAGTACTATAGGCAAGATTGTCTATGTATGTCCAGGAACTTTTAGATAATTCAGTTAAATAACGTGATTTTGGACTAAATAGACGAACTTTTGTCGAGAAATTTGCAGTTGCACACTCTGGCTCTAGGTCTATCAATGGATTTTAAAAGAGGCTTGGCTAAATTTGTGTTTAACTTCCTGCTTAAGATTCCACTAATCGTCACTTGAAGCTCTCAGTATACTTATTTCTGCACACTCTCTTGGGGTCGGCGTGTAAATGTTTACAAAGGCAGACTGATTTAATGAACGGAAAATTTGATATACTCAGTTTACTTTGGCCAAGCTCATTTGGGGACACGTTAAGGCGAGAAAACTTAAACGCTTTGAACGGCAAATGGAAAGTGAGTAAAAAGACAGGATGTTCGCGCCAAGTCACATTAACTCAATTTCAGAGAGCACGACTCGGTGTGTAGTTTTAAATTGGACGTTAAATGGTCGTGCGGTTGTTGAGGTGATCATTGATTATTTAATTCAATGATACTAATCACACAAACGAATCAATTTATAACTAACCTTCGTATGAAGACATCTCCAGTGGTGGACTATGAGACCAGCAATCACAGAATCGATCATCAAGACTAAAGAAGCAGCCTTCAGTTTCCCTATCATGAATGACTATGAAAAGGGCGTTTTAAAAACGACTAGCTAGCTATTAGGGGAAACCCCCTCTTATTTTTCCGCGCTGACCTCATAACTCAGTCACCCATTTCTAGAGGGAAAGTACCCGTTTAAAATCGACTCATTAGTAAGGCAAGCCTGGCTTCGAGTACTGGGATAAATCAGATTTTTTCATTAATATAGTCTTTTCCTAAACACAAGCGATCATGTGCCTGCTATCAGACCTTCCAAAATCATGCCTTTGTAAAGAATCGAGTTGATTTTGTTTCGTTGTGAATACCTCGTTGTAAGCGTTGTCCGTCACCTCGTGTAAACACTTATCATTCGTTTGGTTTAGTTGAGTCGACGCTGAAAGACAATATAAGGAGCGGTCATGAGGTTGTACTTAGGAGACTTGCGACATCTGTGACTATAACGAGTGGTGAGCATGAGCAATATTTTAAACGCGAGTGATAAATGTGATTAAAAAACTTTTTACCCTCAAGAATTTAGCCCTCCGCCGAATTCTACACGGGAAGTATTATAGCTGAGTAACGCAATATTTGCGGAAGTCTTTCAAATGCTGTGTCATGGTATTTAAATTTTCTCGAACCATCCTTTATTGAACCCAATATTACTTTTTCGTTAGAGTTATTTCAGATGGGAATGTGGTTCATATGAGAATAAACAAGCAATTTCTGGCGTAACTGAATTAGGAAACCAAGTGCTCATCTTTCCCTGTTAGCGCAGTAAGCGGAAGTATATTAACGCTGCGTCACGGTCTTTCCTTTTTTTTTCCTCGAGCGTTCTTTGGTATATTGAATTATTAAATACGCTAAATATCAATTCGACAAACTCTTTCAAGTCAGCCTTTTGTTGATTAGGATACTTGTACATTAATTGTAATGAGACTGGTATCTCCAACGATCTTCTTGCAGACGCTCCGTCATCGTCTTTACTTCTTTTTTTCTCGAGCATTCTATAGTTAAATTGAAATATCAACCATGGTAAACAGACATTTGAAAACACCAATCCGACAAAGTCTTTCAAATTCAGCTTTTCGGCGTTTGGGATTATTGTCTATAAATTGTAATAAGACAGGTATCCCCAAGGATCTCCTTGCACACGTTGAGCGCTTTAGGCCATGGCCATGGAAGTGTGTCGTGTTAAGCGCACTACCAATGTAAATTTATCGGCTTACTTTGCGTTCTTTAAAATCACTGACTTCCGTTTTAAATAAACTAACCCCTTTAGAGGAGCTGAACGACTTTTTCTCAAGCACGTTTGAAGGTTTCGGGCACATTCAAGTACATATTCTTTTCGTACCTTTGTAGATCTCATCTGTACAAATATTTAATTCAATTCAATTCAATTAAACACGAGCTGAGAAGGTTTCTATTCGGTATGACTGCGCTTTTCTTGTCTAGGGGGTAGGTGGTAGGGAAGGGTATTTGTGTTTCGTACTGGTGAACAGGGTTAATCAGTACATTGCTGTCATCCTATGTGAAGATACAACTTTATTCAAGTCACGTAGATGCCCTGTTCCTCTGCTTCCTAATATTAGTTACCGACAGGAAAGGCCTAATCTTGCGGTGAATATCAAGTAGTGCATTTTAAGTGCTCAAAGGTGACTTTAAAATGACCCTTTTCAGATTTTATCACGAAGTTCTGCGACTATTCCACTAACGTTTTTGCGAATTACTTAGAAAATTTATACTTCAGCTGGAGGCCTCTCGTTGTGAACTACAAGAAACGGAAAAGTTTATTTCATCGAGGGTAATCGAGTTCTTTCTGACCGGAAAGTGATAAATTTTCCTCAGAGTTTGTAACTTGCTTTGCTTCTTGTGAAATCAGTTTCCCTAAATAAGTATTCAATTAGCTAGTTCTCTGAAGCATAACCCCCTCCTCCAACAAGTCACTGGGGACTTTAAGAAACCACGACGGCAACGCCAAGGAAGACTTCGATTAAAAAATGAATTTCTACTCTTGATTAGAATTTAAAAAATGGCTGCAGGAGCTTACTGTCTCATACAGCGCCACAGCTCAACGTCAGCATGACGTATAAAGTAGCCTTTGAGTTCCAAATGGAAATTAAAATAATTTGCCGTCGCGGTTTCGGTTCGCAGACGACGCAAATTTTTGGCGATTTCACGTTGTTGTTTTACATAGGATGGCCAAGAAATGTACAAAGTTTCAAAACGCACGTACTGAACTATCGTTCTGCCAATTAGATCTCTTGTTTTTCCACGTCCTGGTTGCCGTCTCCGTCGTGGTTTCTTAAGGTCCCTACTCTGATATCCAAAACGGCTATGAGCTATCAGAATAGTAAAAAGTGTTTTGTCACGCTAATTTTGATCTCATTTGCAAAACTATGTTTCAGGATGTATGTGAACACCAAAAAAATTAAAGACAACCAAGGGAATTTGCAAATTTATTAACACAAACGTAGTCAACGTATCGTTTGTACCGTTTCTCAGAGGGATTTTCATTTCCATTCAAGTTCACTGAAAATAATTTCTGTCGTGAAAATCTGATGCGTGCTCCATCCGGTCCGAGTTTAACTGAACTCTCTCCAAATCAACCTGAAATAGAGAAGTAAAAATAGTTTTAACCTCAGCTTTTTACAGTCTAAAAGTTTGCATTTTTAAATATATTTTGCTCAGTGTATAACCTGTACGGCCCCACTTGTGCAATCCAATAGAAGACTACAATGAAAGCTGCCGTTGTTAAAGTGAGCAAGGGTCCGTTTCTCGAAAGTCCCGGTAACTTAGCGGGCCCGAAGCCATGTTTTAAAATCAAAATTTAAAGGATAGAAAACAGGTTCTGGCACCCAAATCAGTCCATTTTGTTTCTTTAGCTGTAAGTTTTATTGTATTTTCAAAACTTTTGAAATCCCCATCATGAATGAAACAGAACAGCTTTGCGGGCCCGTTAAGTGACCGGGAATTTTTGCGAAACGGGCCCCTGATCCGGCAAAAAACATGCGACCCACATTCAGCGGCGAAAAAACCTATTATGAAACAGAAAAAAAAGGGGTTTCGTTTCTCCATAAATCGTGATTTTCTAGTTCAGACTGGAAGAAATAAGGGAAATTTTCTTCTGTGTAATCTCTATTCGTGTTTATATCATGAAATATTTATTGAATATTTATTGAACAGGTCGGGCGGGACAGAAAATTATTATGCTCCTGGTATGACGTAAGGACCTCGTATGACGTCGAGCCAAATATTTTCCCCGGCCCTCCTATTTAGTCATTGAATACTAAGTATTTAGTAGCATTAAGTGGAATAGTTTTACCAATTTTGCATTTGAAACATTGGACTCTGCTTTGCATCTTTTTTTTTTTTTTCTGAGAAGGCAACAAAACTACTGCATGTCTAATATCATTGGACCAACTGTAAATTAATGAGGATAGTACTGGGGATCAGGCAGCGAAGTTTGAGAAGGTCAAAGTTGTGGGCTCTCGCACAACTCAATAAAGTTATTTTAAGGCAAAAACGTCTTTTGAGCGTCAATTAAAACATCTCCCGTCCCAAGCATGTTTTAATCAAAGGGGGTGCTATGTAATGTAGTATAAAACCTTTGATAAAACATTAGTACACAGGCACTACCACTGAGTTGATAGAGATCCAGTTTAAGCCTTGGTTGATCACATCCTTCGTAATAAACAAGCGACACTCCTTCTGAGGCTCTACCCCCTTGGGCGTGAACGCACAGACCACTTCTTATGTGCATGAGGGACATCCCACGTGTCCTGAAGAAGCATGCAAACAGGAATTCAATTCAAGAATTAACAAATGGTAAACACCACAGCGTACACTATTGAGTTATGGTGCACGCGAGAGGTTGCTAAGCACGAAAGAAGCGTAAGAGTCGCTCGAGGCGATAGCCGAGAGCGACTCTAGCTTCTTGAGTGCTTAGCAAACCTCTCAAGTGCATCCATAACCCAATAGTGTACGCTGTGGTGTTTACCATTTGTTTTATAACATAACATTGATACTGCCAATTTGTACTAACTCAAAAAGTGGGGAGAGACATGAGACGTACTCCAGTGTTTCTCCCTACACTTGCGTACTGTAGCCGCTTCCTGCGTGCTTTACAACAGAGCACAGTCAGGTCTCCTCTATTTGTTAAATAGGGAACGGAGTATTCTTATGTATATCATAGAATAGACTTCCGCCGTAAATGCAGCAGGAGAGGCACGCATCTACCAGTAACAAATGTGTTGATATACAACTCGAAATTATCTTACGTGTACTCTATAGGCGCTTCCCAAATTCCGCCCCAGGTTCCGGGCGAATTAGCTTCCAGCCGATACTTGAAAGACTTGGCTGCACTGATATCCTTTATATTATCCGCCAATCCTAGAATAGAATAGTCGTTGCCCAGCGACGGTTTCTCCACATTTCGAAACGTTACATCTTTGGCATTCCAGTTATTCGAGGCACTGGTGACTAGTAGTGTGTAAGCCCCAGGGTCTGATATCATGTCGCAAAAGACAGGCATGTAATCGACGTCATTCTTCTTATTACCATTTGTTTTATAACATAACATTGATACATTGTAGCTAAAGAGTTTTCTTTTATTTAACAAATCTTACGTGACCAGAAAAAAACAAGCGCGCGCGGAAAAATAGTCTTTGAATTTGCTCACGTCAGCAGCGTACACCCATGGGCAAATGGTGGACGTGAAATTGACCAATCAGCGCGCGCGCTTTACTTTGGTTATGTTATAATGCTGTATCGGTAACTGACTAAGGATATGTTCGCCAAACTACAGAATTCGAACGCTTATATTTACCGAACTACCTTAGGCAAACAAAACATGATCAAAGGTGGCAGCATACCATATTTTCCCTTCCCTTCAGTCTTCGAAACAAAACTCTCTGTTAATGATCGTGAGGTTAGGTGCGTCAGATATGAGAGAGAATAATTTCATTTCAGCTAAATTACCATTGATCTCTAACCTTTCAAATCTGGCATCTTCTGGATCACAGTTGCCACTTGAACCCACTAATACAAGTTGGGCACCAAAGTCGACACGACCACCTGCGAAAAGCCGGGCGAAAATTAAGTATAGTAATTCCTTTTCAGATGAAGGAAAAAAAAAACTGAGAAGGAAACACAGCTCCATTTGGTCGAGTTACTCATTTAACACTGCCAAGAAACAGTGATATTCAGTTAGTTTGGAAATCAGAGATGCCTACGTTGGACTGGGTAAAGTAAATAACATACACTAATTTAAGAATCATCTTTGCAGTCCTTTCTCTAAATCTCTAGGAATTTTGGTTAATTTACATAAAGTCAACCATAGGTATTTACTGATTAGAAAAGAAAGTTCATTGAACTGAAACTGACAATGCAACGCCTTCAAAATATCTAATTCAGAGAACAAACCTCTTGGACAGACATATTTTCTACTACATTTGTGCATCAGAATACCATCATCGTAAATGAACTTCTGATACTCTTTCGAGCATTCAGCAGAGGATTTGTAAACCAGCTTGGTCCCGTCGGGTATTTGGCAGCTTGCTCGCTGAGGCTGGACACAAAATTTGTTCACAGCACGTATAGGGCTTTCTGTTGAGGCGGAAGCAGAGCGAAAGGATTGGTGTATATGTATTTCCTCCTCACTATTTATAGATGTTAAGACAAGGGTTAGGAATAAATTTCAACAAATAAGGATATCAGCAATGATGAAGTGGGAAGAGGCATAAGGTGATACTACCGTCAGTTTGCCGTATCAAAATTAAGCCAAAGATAGAGGACGGGCCTTGATTCCTCGAGAAAAAAAGGCTACGTATATTTCGTGTACGAAATAATAGTTTTCAAATCAAAACCTAAGTAGAAATTGGTGCAGTTTTGCTGGAAAAAGGTTTCGCAATAGTCTAAAAATTATTTAAAATTTTCGTTGATGCCGACTAAAGCTGACCTGTAGAAATTGCAAGGAGGGGATCGTTGAGTCATTGTAGCTATCAGACACTGATATATACGAACGAAACTCACCGGAGGTGCCATGCTTGTCACAAATACAAATGGTACAAAACAAGCCCAATATGTGGTGATATTAGTTATTTATACATAGTGACGAAAATGGCGCACTGTAACACAGGATGCAGTTCTTACCTGGACAGTAATTACACTCCTTAGTTTCCTCCTTTAGAATTTTCGCGTCACATTGTTTGCCACCACATTTAGGTTTAGGATTGTCACACTTCTTTTGTCTAGTCATACTACCAGGCTGGCAGAGCTTATCACAACGACTCCACTCACCCCACCCTGATACGCCACCATCAACTGTATCAAGAAAAGGCATTTGAAAGAAAATAATGTTTGACACAAAAATGCACCATGGCAATTTATAGTAGTTATAGGTCCGGCATTGAAATGTCCAAGAAAAGTTGCTTTTAATCAGCTTATGAGTTTAAAACCAATAACAAAAACAAGAGGGCTTGAATTTGCTCAATACGTTTTGCCATTGTGTTGCTCTTGGCTTTTCTTTACAAAGAGCTATCACCAAATCGATCTTTGGGTTTATTTGCTGTGTCTTGGCTTCCTTTTTTTGCAGAGATTGTTATTGGCACCACTTATTTCTGTAATTTGAACATTTCTAAGCTTTCGTTCATTGTCATACCAGGTGTTCTTCTGTGATCGCAATCATCTTCATTTATCCAATACCATATCACCCCTGGGTCAAACATCCCCGGATATATCCAGCTAGCTGGCTTTCCCCCTCGCCTGTCTGTGATGATAGTTCCACGAGGATACCAGTCACCCACAGTCGCAGTGGTCAGCAGTCCAAATGTTCCCGCCATCCAGGGCAGCCGTTTCTGAACGCCATCGTCGCTGTATTCCCACTTGTTGAACTTTTTCACCAGGTTGACATTGGTTTGAGTGTTGTCGGTTTTCAGGAATCTGTGAGTTACATAAACGTGTGTATGAGGCGTTACTGAAAGGGCTCTACCACGAATTCGAATGGTTAAGGGAAAATAGTGGAAAAAATTTTGTGATGTTTCTGAAAGTCCTTACGAGCACTGATACGAAAATCTATTATTACCCCATTTAAAATTATAATAACGTTCGGATATAACGCGCGCTGTTTTTGGTTGAAAGGGCGTGCTCTATCAAAGTACAGGGCACGGAGCTGAGCGTTAGAGCTGTCACCCCATCTGCCAATTTGTACTAACTCAAAAAGTGGGGAGAGACATGAGACGTACTCCAGTGTTTCTCCCTACACTTGCGTACTGTAGCCGCTTCCTGCGTGCTTTACAACAGAGCACAGTCATGTCTCCTCTATTTGTTAAATAGGGAACGGAGTATTCTTATGTATATCATAGAATAGACTTCCGCCGTAAATGCAGCAGGGGAGGCACGCATCTACCAGTAACAAATGTGTTGATATACAACTCGAAATTATCTTACGTGTACTCTATAGGCGCTTCCCAAATTCCGCCCCAGGTTCCGGGCGAATTAGCTTCCAGCCGATACTTGAAAGACTTGGCTGCACTGATATCCTTTATATTATCCGCCAATCCTAGAATAGAATAGTCGTTGCCCAGCGACGGTTTCTCCACATTTCGAAACGTTACATCTTTGGCATTCCAGTTATTCGAGGCACTGGTGACTAGTAGTGTGTAAGCCCCAGGGTCTGATATCATGTCGCAAAAGACAGGCATGTAATCGACGTCATTCTTCTTAATCATGTAAACTCCGTCGTCATATGTGTTACCCAGCTGAGTGCCGTAAACTTTGATTTGGTTGCACGAGTGTCTGTGAAAAAAGTGAAGATTGAAGAGCAGTTAATTTTTTAGGAAACAATATACCTCATACATACTTTCATTTTATTTGCCAATTGATCCATCCATCTGAATAGATCCTTGTCATGCATCCTCGACGACTTCGAAGTGGTGTTAAAATTAATTGGTAATTCTGTTTACATTCGAACAAAGACACGTGTGAAAGACGAAACATGGAGTTACAGCTATCCCGATTGACTACACTTCCCTCAAAGTGAAGCTAATTTCAAGAAAAATTTTCTCATCCCCTATTTATAAAATGCTAGGCTAAAATTAACATCATATGATACCTGGTTCCCTCTCTTATCCATACCCGTATGACCTTTGGTTTGGGTTTTTCACTTCTAATGTAGATAGCATCATTCGTAGAAGTCACTATTACTCCCGAGTTATCTCTTGCTGAGCCCGTCGTATACATGTATTTTCCACCAACTTCGAGACGAGGAACGCGCTTGTTCAAATTTTCTGTCTCATCCCAGATTCCAAACTTCTTTAGTAGCCGTATGTTTGTTTGAGTATCAGAGGATGACATCATAGAGTAGCCTCTTATTGTCTCCCAAATTCCTCCAAACATTTCCTCACCATCGGCCTCGATTCGGTACTAGATGAGTAAAGTAAGCCGGCTAAGTTATATCGAAGCAAAAATTAAAAACCTGTTCTTTTCGGGAAGTGTTAAAGCCGCACGGGTAGGGAAAGTTTATTTCATATGTTGTAGTTCAATTTTATCCTTGGTTTAAATTTTATTTTCCTTTGTTTCAAACTCATTATCATACATTAACACGACCGAGAACAAAGGAAAACAAAATTTGGACCAAGTAGAAAATTAAACTATAACACATACATTTGTCATCACAGATCATCAACATACGCGTTTTATTGCATCCTTAAAGTCTCTAAATCTTATTATATGTTGCGTGGAAAATAAAATTCTCCAGTTGAAGTACAAGTACGAAAGCTAAATGAAAATGGTCTGATGATAAACTTTCATGAATATTATTTTACAGTACAGTACGCTTTCATTTTCAGTTGTACCATATTACTCTTTAACAAAGAAAATTTCATCCGACGTTGAATATCGTCAGATGTCATGGAAAGATAGTTGTTGCAGGAATGAATACCTTTCCAATTTGAAAAATTATGCACCTGGAATTTTTCCTTTCCAAGAATGTTATCAGCTTGCCCAAGGATCGAAAAGTCTGTTTTAAGTGATGGATTTTGCCCATTCCTTTCAAGAACGTTCTGTGCATTCCATCCTCGACTAGAAGCACTGGTAAGGAGTAAGGTCCAGCCTCCGCCATTACGTGTCATGTCGCAGTATGTTGAGACTGGTTTGTCCACCGGCTGAATATTGTAGAAACCATCTTAAAGGAAAAAAATCAATCGTTAAGTATCGTGCAAGGCTTCATACCGTTTAAGGAACAGTTTAAACTTTAACGGAAATCAAAACAACGTTTCTTTTGTGGTACTATATTAATAAGGAAATATTCAATCAAAAAACTTGAGTTTCTTTTTTAAAATATTTTCTTTGGGTGGTAAAGGTCAATTAAGGTGCATGGTCTAGGCTATATACTAGACCTGAAGCTCCTTCCTTTCCAATGCTGCGAGTCATGACCTCCATACAGGACCTCGGAGGACTGTACTCTCCTTCTCTCATCCAGTACCAAATGTAGGTCGGACATTGTTCTTTGTCTTTGCCGTATATCCATGGAGCTGGGTGATATTTCTTCATAGAGGCTGTAAGCAAGCTTCGTGTCAAAAAAAAACTTCATATTTTGGTGGGAGGCAGTGAAACACTGTAATTTATCATTGTAATAGCTTTACTCATGGTGACTGATAATTTTGAAAGCAGTCATAATCCCAGAGTGCAAATCTAAGCTAGTTCCAAGTGCATCATCAGATGCATTCATATTTTTTTTTTTTTTTAATTTTGAATTGGAGGTCGTCAATTCTCTTTGGGAATAACCTATCTTATCAGCACAGCGGTCTGTTCCGAATTTCCGACACCCTCCTTTAAGGTCGAATTCAACAGAAAATACCTTGTGATGATTTAAAAGGTGTGCCCAAGGCGTGTCACCAGGGGACCTCTCCATGGTGTGAAGCTTGGAAAAGTTTCATCTCAGCTGATTAACTGTAATTCAACGTCGAACTCTTGAATGCTGAGGCTAGTCTATTTCAGATACCTCTCGTAATTTATTTACCTGTAATAGAACCAAATTCATTTGTCTTTGGTTCACCAGCTGTAGTTAGTCTCTCGCCATATAGCCAAGGCATCCTTTTTTGCAAACCGTACCAGGAATAATCCCACTCATCAAACTTTCTAGTCAGCCGGACTCCCGTCTGACTGTTGTCAGTTTTGACAAAACTGTAGCTGCGCGGTGCCTTCCAAATTCCACCCCATCTTCCTAAAATATTAAACGCAACATATTTTCTCCAGTACAGAAATGAAAGGAGTAAAATGTTTTCTAGTCGTGTTATCAATTTTCGGAAAGCAAATTGTCATCTCGAAAATCGCTAAATTCATTTGGCGTTGGCATACTGTTAGCTTTTATCGGACCACAAAGTCCGTGGTCTTCGTCGATGGATTAAAAATGGCACTATACAGTCAAAACATCGCGATTCATTCCCTCACAACTCACGATGTACTAAGACGTGCTATGGTACGTTTTTACATATTTAACACCGGTTGATCAGCAACTATACGTGTAACCTTTGTGCGAGTTTTTCTTCTGCTGTTTAACGGGAAAGGAATAAAACGCTTTGGTTGAAAATGCCCCTTCTTGAAATCATTCTCTTTACTCGCTTGACTAAAACCATCAACAGAGCATCACACATACCTGGACTATCAGCTTCTAAGCGATATTCAAAGGTAGAACCCTTCACGTTCCCACTATTTTTGATGTCATCTGCCTTGAACAAGATAGAGAAATCGTCTTTAAGTTTTGGATCCATTTCATTATTTCGTTGAACATTCTGCCTTGTCCACTTGTTGGTGTAGCTGGTAACCAATAGCGTCCATCCACCACCATCACGTGTCATATCGCATATAGTCTTTACGATGCCCTTCCCATCTGGATTTATTTCATAAACGCCATCAGCGTAAGGCTTGCCAAGTCGTTTACCGATGATCTGCAGATGGCGGCAGGAATGAGCCTCTAGAAATATATCACAAAAACAAAAAAGTGATATAGGTCCAGACTTAACAATATTCTTCCGAAGTGCCTAAGAAGAATAGTGCATGCATTATTTCAGCTGACTGGGCTTTGTAAACCAGGGTGAAGGAGAATAAATCTGACCCCTTATAATCCCCATCCTCATTTTGCGTGCTGCGCGTCTGCGCACGACTTGTGTTCTCTGTCACAACTAGCCAAACATTGTCAAATGGAGTCAGATGTCATCAAGAACTAAAGTTTTTTTTGCAAAATAAGTAATCCCTGCTTATTTATTTACTCCTAAATTTTGCCTTAGCACTGTTTATCTAACGTCTCATGCATTAATAATAATAATCTTTATTGAGGAAACTTTTTCACGTACATGTAGTTTTCGAAAACGATCTCGAAGGTTAGGACCTTAGGGCTTTCTGTTTATACAAAGCCAAATAAATTGAGGACCTTAAGTAAACCACGACGGCGACGGCAACGTGGACGTGGCGAAACAAAAGATTCATTGGGAAGAACAATAGCTCAAAAACTCGTTTTAGAACTTCGTCCCTTTCTTACCCGTCCTCTATAAAACAACAACATGATTTGGTCTGAGAACAGAAACCGCGATGATAAGTTATTCATGTTTACATTTGGAACTCAGCGCTACTCTCATGCGCTATGCTGATGTTGAGAGGGGCGCAAAATTCTAATTAAGGCTAAGAATCTTTTTTCAATCGGTGCCTTCCTCGGTACTACCTTAGTGACTGCTTAAGGTCCCAATTGTGCATTGTAACCAAGCCGAACGATTTCATAAAAATATCTCCACGATGTTTCTTCCCTTTACTTTTACTTTAAGAGGCTGCACTAATTTTTTTCGTTTCAAATATCACTATTGACATAGTCATGCAAGGAGCAAATGACATGTCAAAGCGAACACGTTTTGCAGCAAATAAAAACATTTCACACGAAGATAAGGGTCAAGTTATAAATGAAATGTTTTCGTTTTCTAGTTGCTGGAAGCAGGTTGGCCTTAGGTTGAATATGAAATGAAGAACCATTTTCAACTGTCTTGGGAAAATTGCTGAAGCGACCAAATTAGGACCAAATTATCTCGTGGTAAATTCATTCACGGAATAAAAAATAGCGCTATTGCTTTACGCTGTCAGAAAAGTGCCTTTTGAAACGAACATAATTATCTCATAAGAAAGTTTAATTGACTTTATGGGCGGAAAACACAATCCGGCGGTCCGGCAATAGATCATCACAGCGTGGGGAAGTGAATAATAGCTGTCTTTATTTGTACTTCCGAGAGGTATTTTTTAATATTTCGAATAAGCTGTTTCTCAGTTGTAAATGAAGCAAATTCAAGGACAAAGTCTTCCGGCAGAGTCTCGTAAGAATGAACGTCACAAATGAGAGTCACATCGGTAAACCAAGAATTGTAGAGAAGTTTATAGTCGAAATGCAGTTCAGGTTAGGTTGCTTCTCAGGCTTCTATATTTATCTTATGGCTACGCACAAGTCTTTTTATCCAAATATTGTTTTATAATCTTAAAAAGTTTTCCGCACTACTTGAAAATAAACATTTCTTCGTGACAGATATCGTATGTTGACAATCGATCATCAAATTTTTATGACCCGAGCCTCATTCCTTTTAAAAGTGAAATGATGAAAAAGTTTCGTAACCGTCAAAGTCTCATGGAAAATGCGTAAAAAATATTTACATAGTGAAGTTCTTAAATTTTGATGAAAACGTTATACTTGCGAAACTTTGTATTATGTCATGCTGCAGATGTAAACAACTTGAAGCAAAATAATTTCAGTGTTCAAAATAAGCATGGTTAGTTTTAAAATAATCCATGAAAGTGAAGAAAAGACAACCAGCTTGACGAAACTGCTGTAAAAATTTGACTACAAAAAAAAAATTAATTATAAGAAAGATTTCTCATCCTTGACTGATTATTGTATGGTAAGAAAAAACACTACTTGTACTTTATAGATTAGCCTCCTTTATATGCTGGAAGCTCCCACACAAAAAGGTACGATACGGCAGTATGTATATATTTTTCTGATGGGTTTCACTCTTATAGAGCTTGCAGCTATCTGAGAAAGGCTTTTGGCAATTAAAAGCAACATTAATGAATATTCATTTTCTCCTGTAAAATCACATCGATTGTGGGGTGTCACTGTTGTTCCCATAATTTGGATCGATTCACAGAAAGGTACTTGCAGCTGATGAGACTATAAAGTGGGCGACAGATAGGAAAAACGTCATGATTAGAACCCAGCTGGAAGCTGTGAGAAAGTGAAAAAAAAAACACAATGCGATTGGCCAATGATTTCCACTAACAGATACAAAGGTCAAGTAGTCACCGCCAAATAATTGTGGAAGGGGTTTTTTTTTCACAGGAGGGCAGATATTTTGTATTTATTACTGATAAAACGCTCAAATTCAATCTTTAGCACAAATTCTGTGGACGTTTAACCACGCAAATAACTTTCTAGGTTCGATAGTCCCCAACTAATTACATATGCCAAACGAGTTTCGCTTCTGTTTCAGGGTACGTAAGCAGTCAGAGTTCCATCTTGGTCGTTTCCCATAAGTTTCCAGTTTCATTTAAGCACGATCTTTTAAAACGTTTCTCGGCAGGTAAACCTAAACCTTCATGGATTTAAATAGCACACAGAAGTGTTACTTCCTAACAAGCTTGGAGCTATCACACGAAGGAAGTATCTATGCCTCTGAAATCGCTTTTTGTGCAGTAAACTCAGTGTTTTCTGTAATAGCAACCACCTGGAACATTTTAGTGATCCTAGTGATCTGGAAGACGCCGCTTCTCCATTCGCCATCGAACATTCTTATTTGCTGCCTTGCCTGCTCAGATCTTGTTATCGGTCTCTTGGCTCAACCCATGCTAGTTACCTACAAGATCGCTGAGCTGCAGAATAGCGCTAACACGGCCTGCATCGGTAGGCTCATTCACTGGATTGTTGGGTTTGTATGCGCGGGAGTTTCCGTTCTGACAATTTGCGCCATCTCGGTGGATAAAGTAGCTGCTTTACACTGGCATCTTCGTTACGGAGAAAAAGTCACAGTTGTACGTGTTTTGAGAATTATTTGCGCTTTCTGGTTATTTTGCATTTCTACGGCAGTTTCTCTCTTCTTGGCCGACACAGATCGCTACTGGACGCTTGTTCCGTTACCCGTGCTTGCGGTGACTTTGACTACTACTTTTGTAGCATACATCAAAGTATTTAAAGTGCTCCGACGCCATCAGAAACAAATACAGTCCCAGACTCGGTCTGCGTGGGAAGGAGTCAATATAAGAAAATACAAAAAGTCTGTTATTACCATGGTTTATTTGTTAGCGATGTTTCTGGTTTGTTATACTCCGTTCTTAATGGCAATGGCTGTTCGGCTTCTGGTTGGTTACAGTTCTGGTGTAAAAATGGCTTACGAGTGGGGAGCAACGATTGTTTATTTAAATTCATCGTTAAATCCTTTAGTGTACTGGCTCAGAATGCAAGATATACGTCTTGCAACGTACAACGCCATCAGAAAAATACTTGGGAACGAGAGCAGATTTGAGAGTAAAGTTTTGCAATTCAGCAATTGGAACATTTTTAATGATAATAATGTAAGCAAGTCTCGATTTGACATTTCGCAAGCTTTTCGAAATTGACTGCCGATCAAACTAAATACAAATTTCATTGTGTGCAAGCTGTCTTTGATGTTTATTTGGACTTCGAAAACCTCATGGTGAATATTTTTTTTCGTGTAAAACGACAATACTTTACAGCTGCCTGCGATACCGAGCTTTTGCATGAAGGTCTGTTAATAACAGAAAGGTCAGTTGTGATGAGAAAATTTTTGAAACATCAAAGGAAAGTAAGAGAAACAGAAAAGATTTTTATTTTAACATGACTTTAAAATCAATTTTGTTATCATTGCATTGCTTTTTATAACCATCGTTAAAACTTGAAATGCTTCTGTGGCTCGACATACATTTCCCTTAAAGTGTAAAAAGAGATGTGAGATTTAGAGAAAGCCCTGTTTCTTTATTTGCACTGTGGTTTATAGTTTCAACTTTTTTTTATATCATGTAATCGATATAAACCGAAGTCAGGCAGAATTGATGTCATCACGTAGGAAACGAATGGGAAAATTAATTGAACGCAAAACACCTCGAACTACTACTATATCCATACGGAATTTGCATCATAAACTGAAAATGCTACCGAAGTGGTATCGAGCCGATAACCAGAAACAGTTTCTTTACACGCTATGAATTATTCTACCATTATGTTAATTGGTCAAGAATTCAAAGCCTGCTATCGCGTCAACGTCAAAAAGATGCCATCTGAAAAACCATTCAGCACCTCGAGGTAAACAAAGAGAAAACACGATGAAATTAGGTGGAAAGAATACCACTACAAGTCCCGTGCAAAAATCAAATCTTATCCGGCGCTACTCTTGAGATTTACAACACAGAGGACCACATTCAGCAACTATATTGTCACTAATTGTTATAACGGATTCGAGTCATCCGTTTTAACTTGCTAATGGCTCATCGCTAAATGCTAATGTAAAGAACGATTACATAGAACAGTTGAAAACATTTATTCATACACGTCTCAACTGCTGAATTTTCCCTGTGGAAAATTCTTAAAATCCTTAACCGGCTCCCGGTTAGCTCATTTGGTTAGAGCGCTGGACTTGTGTGCGGGAGGTCGAGGTCGATGGTTCGAGCCCCGGCCGGACCAACACTCAAGGTCTTAAAATAACTGAGGAGAATGCGCTACCTTTCCATAATATTAAGAAATAGAGGACGAATAAACCGTAGGTCCCGTCTCCTGGATCTAGTAATTAGTTAATTTGGTTAGGCAGGGGATGTTAAAAAACCCACTCACGACATTACTGTGATCTGGTCTGGCCTGTTTACTGGGAATTGTGGGGAGGGGGCATCTTCAAATAAGTTTCCTTCAATTGTTTGTAAACTGCTGATGCAGTCCGGCCAAAGTCCCCCGAAAAGTGTTGTGATGTGCATTTGATCATAACCACATGTTAATTTGCGCAATATATATATTAAATTATTATTATTAAAACAACCAATGCTGCCAAGGGTAATTATGAGTTGGTGGTAACTGTAAAGTCAGAAAAAAAAAAAAAAAAAAAAAAAAAAGGCAAGTACTTTCAAAGCGCTGCCGCTTATGCATGCACCTCCACGATCGTTTGGCTCCACAGAATATTTTATAGCTGGTTTTGAACAATCCAGTACCACTCAATGTGAATTATTCGTGTGTGTCTAAACAGGTCACAAGAATATTATGCGTCTTATTTACGTATAAGAAAAAATTTTTACGAATTCGCTCTATTAAGTATAAAAACTTGCAGCTGAGAGTTTTTATATGACGACTTTAATCTCCGTGCCTTAAGGGGAGACTCTTGGCCGGAAACAATCGGTTCCTTTAAGATCGGGCATATACCAGGTTTCATTTCTTTTACCGGGGATTTTAACTCGCAGCGGATCCGTTCATTTAATCGCAGATGGTTCAATTTGAAGAGTTCAACCTTCCTATCCTTGTTGTCTACTTAGTTCTTTCGACTTTAGGGTATTGGACAGGTTTATCAAATTAAAATTCGAGGTTTTCCAAGTGTTTTCACGCGGGTAGAGAGTCTTCGTTGTACTTTTAAACATATAACTCCATCTTCTGCTTTGTAATTGATCAATACAACTCATAGTTATGCTCTTTCATGACCATAATTATCAACACTGACCGTACCGAAGAAACAGGAAACGAAACGGAAGAGCTATTCTCATAACTAAAGGAAATTTGTCAATATCCGCATTTTCAAAATGGTCTATTACTCCAGAAACTCCTGTTATTACTACAAAATCTAAGTAAGAAGTCGAAGGGCTTCTAAATGAAGCTCTCTAATTTTTGTTTATTACTTCTCGTAATGTGATGGCAGGCGGCATCTTCTCTCATAAATCTTAGCATACGATATCACATGGCTTTGTTTTCAGATCTGGCCCGCTAATGTCGTATTTGAAAAAATATGAAGATGTTTTATTGTCTTTTTCTCATTATCTGAAGTTGACAATCTTCGACGCTGGAGCAATCTTAACGACAAAAGGCTGAACAGAAAACTTTGCAATAAAGCTTGAGTTCCTAATAGATTTTACCATCCAAACTCAGTTTCAACAGGAAAAACCAGTTGTCACTCGATCAGGCGGATTGAATAAAAAAAGTTAAAAGAGATTAATGTAAAGTTTGATCCCGACTTAAATTGCGTTCAAGCTTTGATAGCTGAAAGCGTTTTTCATAATATTTAAAATTGTAACGATGCCCATTCTTATGACTTCTTAGATTTACTCTGTTATTAATGTTCATATATATTCTTTTGTATGCTTAAGACCTGATATTGGCCTTGAGAATTTCTTTTCATGTCACCGTTTTTGTCCTCAAATCTCATTACTGTTTTTCTATTACTTTCTTTAGTATTCTTGAACATCTCAAGGAAAATTGATCTTGGTAAAGTAAAAGGAAAAGAAATGGTAATGTGTTAGGGAAATGTAGCTCAGAATTTTTGAGTTGCCCATTTGAAATATGTCGTTCAAAGTGTCTCCTTTCTTTTTAATTACTTTTTTTTTGCCTCCACACCCGTTCTACTGAAATATATGTTTATTACCTTTAAAAGTATTGTCTATGAATCTGTTCCTTTGGTCAAGACTATCATCGGAAAAATGAATGTTGTCACCAGACATTTTTGCGTAGTGCCCTAAGGATAACGTTTTTTGTTTTTTGTTTGGTTTTTTTTTTTTTTTTGTAGTTTTTTTCTCTTCTTTCCATCTTCATTTTTTCCCGCGCACTTTCTCCTCCTCACTCATTAGTCTCCACACGTAAGCGTGCGGTATTATGAAGGAAAAAATCAAATGAAGGTGCGGGCATATTGATGGAAATGACTCGATGATTGAAAGTTTAAGGTCAGACTTACAGGCTCATAACATTGAGTGATGTGTGAAGGTGTAGTCTGATCGTCCGGGTGAGTGTAGTCCTGAGAAGGACTGTTGTCGGTGGCAGTGACTGACGTTTCGACAACCTGTGCGGAAGTCATCATCAGAGTCAAGTGAGTGATTGTTGTCAGTAGAATGTTCTTATTCCAGTTCGTGTGAAATGATCGGTTGGTTTTGCCGTGATGTTATTGGCTGTAAGACTCAAGTGACGTAAGTCGTTCGTGATTGGTCTGTTTCGGTCTGTCGGTAAAGCTAGGTTGTTCTTTTTCGGTCGTTTGTGATGTTTATGTCGTGAATGAGTCGTTTGTATGGGGCGGGTAGTTGTTGACATCTGTTTAGGGGAGTCTGTTCTAAGTTAGTAAACCAGCTTTCCAGAGTCAGTCGTTGAAAATAGTCAGTGCTGTAGGTTAGGCATTGCGCAGAGTCCCAGTCAATGTTGTGGTTGGTAAGTCGATGGTGTTCAGCAATGTGATTGCTGACATCACCTTTCCTCGTCGCCCGTCTGTGTTCAGTCAGTCTTGTTGTGAGGTTTCTGCCAGTCTCACCGATGTAGGAGGCTTGGCAGTCGGAACAATTGATCTTATAAATCGTTCCCTGTCTGTTCCTCGGTTCGTCTTTGTCTTTAACGTTGGTTAGTAACTGACTTACCAACCACAACATTGACTGGGACTCTGCGCAATGCCTAACCTACAGCACTGACTATTTTCAACGACTGACTCTGGAAAGCTGGTTTACTAACTTAGAACAGACTCCCCTAAACAGATGTCAACAACTACCCGCCCCATACAAACGACTCATTCACGACATAAACATCACAAACGACCGAAAAAGAACAACCTAGCTTTACCGACAGACCGAAACAGACCAATCACGAACGACTTACGTCACTTGAGTCTTACAGCCAATAACATCACGGCAAAACCAACCGATCATTTCACACGAACTGGAATAAGAACATTCTACTGACAACAATCACTCACTTGACTCTGATGATGACTTCCGCACAGGTTGTCGAAACGTCAGTCACTGCCACCGACAACAGTCCTTCTCAGGACTACACTCACCCGGACGATCAGACTACACCTTCACATGTTACCCCCGGGTTCAAACCATTTACTGCANCATCCGACGAAACACTCACCGACCCACTACCACTACCGAAACAAACGACACCGCAACCCCTACGACTACAGCAACCATACCGTACATAAAAGGCATGTCTGAAAACATCTCGCGCATCTTACTACCCTTCAATATCCGCGTCGCCCACAAACCCATCACCACACTACGTCAGTTACTAACCAACGTTAAAGACAAAGACGAACCGAGGAACAGACAGGGAACGATTTATAAGATCAATTGTTCCGACTGCCAAGCCTCCTACATCGGTGAGACTGGCAGAAACCTCACAACAAGACTGACTGAACACAGACGGGCGACGAGGAAAGGTGATGTCAGCAATCACATTGCTGAACACCATCGACTTACCAACCACAACATTGACTGGGACTCTGCGCAATGCCTAACCTACAGCACTGACTATTTTCAACGACTGACTCTGGAAAGCTGGTTTACTAACTTAGAACAGACTCCCCTAAACAGATGTCAACAACTACCCGCCCCATACAAACGACTCATTCACGACATAAACATCACAAACGACCGAAAAAGAACAACCTAGCTTTACCGACAGACCGAAACAGACCAATCACGAACGACTTACGTCACTTGAGTCTTACAGCCAATAACATCACGGCAAAACCAACCGATCATTTCACACGAACTGGAATAAGAACATTCTACTGACAACAATCACTCACTTGACTCTGATGATGACTTCCGCACAGGTTGTCGAAACGTCAGTCACTGCCACCGACAACAGTCCTTCTCAGGACTACACTCACCCGGACGATCAGACTACACCTTCACATGTTACCCCCGGGTTCAAACCATTTACTGCATTGAGTGATGTGTCAGTTGTATTAAATAAAAGGCTATTGAGGGCGTTATCATGACATCGGTTATTGGGCTGCGTTCATTTCTTTGAATCGTAACCTCGACCAACAGCTGAATGTAAACATCAGTCGACTTCGATCAACTATGTGAGTAGCTAAAGCAGTGAGCTTGATGCGGGAGACTTACATTTATTTGGTAAATACTTACGAGGACAAGGTTCCTCGTTGCAAGCTTCTTCCAAAAGTCTTTCTCCTTCGCAGATCTTTCCTCCATGCAAAGGGGATGGACTGTCACAAAATCGATAACGTAAACGTGTTCCACTGTTACAGGCCCGCGTGCATTTTGTCCAGCTTGACCAAGCCCCCCAGTTTCCATCACGTGTGGTAGCAACTAATGGAGAAGTCAAAGCGTCATTACACTGGAATAGCATATTTTAAATCAAGTTGTTCTAACGTGCAAATTAAGGTGCAAAATGCATCTAATGACACTAAAGTAAACGTTATGGTAAAACCAAAATAATCAAATTGAGTTAAACCCTCAGCTGAGTTTCCAATTTTATGTGATTAAAACGTTTTCATAAGTACAGAAAATTTCCTTGACAGTGAATGATTCACAGTTTTAAATCTTTTATGCTTGCACGTTTATGTCATTCCCTAGTAACAAAGAACGCAAACCTTTGTTGCAAGCGGACGCCGGATCGAATCCGTCTTCACATGCGCATTGGCCATCATTTGTACAAAACTACACAAAACAAAGAAATAGAACACTTTAACAAGACAAGACAAGACAAGACAACTTTATTAAGCCAGGGTGGCTCAGTCAGCTGCGAGGCTGGTATCCTTAGGGGCCTTGGTTTCAATGAGACTTGACCGTGAAAAATCTGTCAGGGATGAACGTTTTTTTTCATATGATAAACGTCTTTCATGGCTAATTGAAAAAAAAAAAAGGGAAGTATTTTTCCGTGAATGGCGCACTTTTCCAGGAAAGTTGTAGGTGCAAATGTGGCTTTTGCAGGCCATTCCAAATAACGGTGAATTGTGAATAGAAACCAGAGAAACTTAACAAGCGAGAGAAGTAAACAGTTAAGATTATAAGATCGTTAGCTACCCACAATTCCTCCTTGCTTTTTCGTCGCTTGCGTTCAAAAATAGAGGTTCTGATTGGTAAAATTACTGTTCTTATAAACTTACTCCACGACCGGCACATTCTTTTCCATTAACCATTTTACATCTCTTTCTCTGGATTGATTGGCATCTGTTTTCCTTACAAACCTACGAAGAATGAAAAAAGTAATGGTCATATACTCAGACATAACGCTCAAAGGTGACAGATAGAGTATTGTAAGTGAACCATTGGTCAAACCTGACAAACATGCAGAGTATTATAACTAAACCATTGGTCACTCTTAAGTGGGAAATTTATTCGTAAGGGAACTTCTACTTTTGTGATTGAAGCTTTTGTGTAGAGGATTTTGCAAGTGAGATTACATTATTAAATCGATCCAATGGCCCATGACTGTAAGGTTATCTTTTTGTTTTTGTTTTTATTTGTTTTCTCCCTTGCATGACATGACTTTAGTTCTTCATACTTGCCTTGTTTGCTCCACATTTGGTTCCCTCTTTTACCATACCGAGCCCGATGAAATCACTTTGATAATTGAGGGACGCAACGCTGTAGTAAGAAAAAAGGTGTAACAAGAACAAAATATTAAATTATCTTAAGGAGTTGTACCATACAATCTCATACCATACGATTCATTGATGAGCGAATACTAGACCAAGTTAAGGAACTACAACGAACAAACAAACAAGCTGCAACCGTTACGGGTGTAGCTTGAAAATCATTCTTGCGGCTTAAAAATGAAGAGCTCCAGTTTCAAAAAAAGAAAAAGCTGCAGCGTAGCAGGGTTCACTTAATCTTTCTTTATGACACAAAGCCTCCCAAAGTCGAACCCTACTTCCTCTTCGTGGGGGGTGAAAACTACCTCAGGCCGGCTAACGGGGCTCTAGCATATCTGGGATAGAAGAACGAGTGACAACCAGGCGCAGAGCCCAACAATCAACCCGGAAAAACAATTAAAAAAAGGATATGATATTTCAGCCGAAATGGAATTATTGGAACAGTCTAGTTATCATCAGAGTGTTTAGTAATAAAGTAAAGAACAGGTGAAAACTTTCGAAGACTCATACAACACTCTATTGTCAAATAAGTGGCTTGGCGAGATAAAAACAAAAGTTGGGAACACTTAAAATGGTAAAATTTTAATTTACCTGCATTGAGCCCCAGAAGGAAGAGGAATCCTTTTATAATCAGAACCATAATCCACATCCGGCTTTTGTCGAAAGCTGTCTGTACACTGAATTTGTCCACACATAACATCGCTAGATTGCTCAAATCCAGAAACCTCTCGATAAGTATAACATAGTGGTCTCTGTCATAATTTTGAACTACAGACGAAATTTAAGAGATGCTTTTTTTTCCCTCTAGGCTCGTGGCAGGTAACTGTGCTTTACTGATGGAATATACACAAGTCACTCGAACCCCTTTCAGCTTTTCAACAAATGGAAGAGATCACATCTTTTGGGTGCAAAGTTTATTTAGAGAGAGTAGCAATACGGTGGATTATGCTAAGTAAACTGGCATTTTTCAGACGTTTTAAAGTACTGGATACTGTCGTTTAGTTATCCCATGCCATCCTATGCTTAAGGCAAAAATAAATGACAGAAACTAAAAGGACGATCAATTTAGATACACCGCTAGCCTGACAATAATAGTTCCGTGCCTTAGGTTATCATGTCACTCTTACATAAAATGGAACTTTACCTATAGATTAGAGTTACATATCTACAGCTGTTATCAAAATGGCAGCAAACCATCGGCTTAATTGATACCATTTTTGTCGATGAAATTAACCAGCCTTCAGACATAATTACATTTATTGTTGTCTATACAAGACCTTTTCGCACAGGGGCGGGGTCTTGTGGCATCACACGTCCCGTACTGTGTTCTCTGTGAGTTGTATTTATCCCAGCATGCTTTTTCCGCTGAGCGGGCAGCTTACAGGTGAAAGAGCAAACAAGTTAGTAGAGTTTCAGTGAAATATTTTTACAATATATTTTACTCCTCAAGTTAAAAATACTCAAGGAAATTACACTTACTTCCGCCCCACAGATCAGAACATTGAGTATCTAGTGAGTCTGCACATTTCCCTAAGTGACAGAAGGACTAAAAAAGGCATAAAAAATTTAAATGATTAAAAACATGAACAAGAGATCGACGATTGAAAGCAATGAGCAGGAAAACGTTCAAAAAACGGAAGTAATGAGCATGAAAGCGCAAAAGTTCTCCGCTGGTAGTATCAAAAGGAAGTACGGATAATGGGAACAACTGTAAATGCCATCAAGATGACCTGCGGAGAACGAAACGGATGCACGAACATTGTTTTTAATGGTTGTCATGTCAAAAGCAATCTCATGGGAAATAAGGGAGTGGGAAGGAGGGAACTAAAGGATAAGAACACCTTTTTCTCGCTTCTCCGCTTACGCGTCCATTTTACCGCTATAACGACATTTTTCCGTTAAGTGATGGTTCTTACATTAGCTTCCTGCTCATCTCCACCTTCGCTATAAACTGTCCACATTTTCCCATCGAGGCTGTACCAAAGGTAAAACCCTTCAACAAGATCCCATTCGTTTCCTTGCATGGCGACTCTTGTAATCATCTGAACCTGGGCAAATATAAAAAACAGCGGTTGAGTTCAAAATGGAAATTTTGACGTTGCTGTTGCAGGTTTCCTTGGTTACGGGAGAAGGAGGAGGGGAGTAGAAAATACTGGCAGTTACCCGCGTCACTGAGCAGGTGTAACCAAGAATTCTAAACGCAAAGTATTATAACTGTTCTCTTGTTTTTCAACTTCTTAAACAGCCTAATCACTTCTTCGGCGCTGCCACCGCCTGGTCTGTCAACGGACACTTTTTCAAACAGCGTCATGATTTTAGAGCTAGTCCAAAGTAGTCCATACTATTTTGTATCTCTTAACCCCAATCAAAATGTTATCAAAATTAAATCAGTCTGATGGTTACGATAACGTGAAAACATACCCAGACAAAAACGTTAGAAATAGCCTAGTAACAATGCTATAATTGGTGCAAAAAAAAAAAAAAACAAGAAAAACAACGGCAACAACAAAAAACAATTGTGCGAGCTAAAACAGGATCTTATTGCCTCAAACGTATTTCCGATCGTTTGACCCTCCAGGCCTTTTTAGTGGGTCTACTGAATTAAGAGCAAAGCAACGAAAAGGCATACTTTCCCAAGGTCGATCTGTAGAAATTCGTCTTTGTCGCTTTTGTCGTTGGGTTTACCACACCAAGCCTTAGGTCCATTGAGACGAGCAAATTTAGGTAGCCACTCGTAACTGAGTGTCGATGAAGCAGTTATTTGTTTATCTGCAATGATACCAGTTGACATACCAACGGAAAGGACACAATCTAGGGAATGAGGAATTATAGCAAAAGACAACTTTAAGAAAGTTGCATTAAGTTATTGAACAGATTTCAGAACTACAATCCCTCGAAGGGATGACCAATGCATGCCAGTCCGTGCCAAAAATTAACAAATGGTAAACACCACAGCGTACACTATTGAGTTATGGATGCACGCTGGAGGTAGCTAAGCACGAAAGAAGCGTAAGAGTCGCTCGAGGCGATAGCCGAGAGCGACTCTAGCTTCTTGAGTGCTTAGCAAACCTCCCAAGTGCATCCATAACTCAATAGTGTACGCTGTGGTGTTTACCATTTGTTTCATAACATAACATTGATACATTGTAGCTAAAGAGTTCCCTTTTATTTAACAAATCTTACGCGATCAGAAAAAACAAGCGCGCGCGGAAAAATAGTCTTTGCCTTTGCTCACGTGAGCAGCGTACACCCATGGGTAAATGGGGGACGCTAAATTGACCAATCAGAGCGCGCGCTTTACTTTGGTTATGTTATAAAGTAGCACAGATGCCTCAGTCTCTGTCATTAATTGTCATCCTGTTCCATTTCTTGCACTTTTCCCGCGTGTGTATCTATTTACAAGAACAAGGTGAGGTTGACTGGTTTTTATACCAGCGGACTCCGAACTTACAGCCGACATGCTGAACTTACCTTGCCTCATGAACGTAACTTTAGTATGATCTTCGTCACAACCTTGCCACAAGCAAGCCTCTACTCCTTCTCGAGGATGTCCACCATACAGATGAAGACACATTCCAGTTGGTTTGTGTTTTAAGGAATGCGCTATTATACGAGACAACAAAATTCAGTAGCATTAGTGACAAACACAGTGCCAAAATAATTTGCCGTAAATGTTTGGTGCATGGTAGCAAAACATGACCTGTGAGAGAACGATTTTGTTAGCTTGTCTATGGGGTATTAAGGGTTTTCAAGTATAGATGCCTCTTTCAGGATGGTCCTTAAATGAACGAAAATAGGGCTCAGTCGGCTAGCGCGCTCCTAGCACTCCTAAGGTAAAAGAACAAACCAGGAATATTCCGCGAAGCATCTTCAGATAGACTTACCTGCAGTTCTTTCAAATTTAGAGTCCTGTGGCTGACATTTGTTGCTGATCATAAGTTCACACTTTTTTCCACGAGCTGGCTTACGAGGGCACACTGGTTTGCCACTGCAGTGATGTTTAAGGGTGCCATCTGTCGATAGGGAGAATTGCATGAAAGGTTGATCGCAAGGTTTTGTTTGAGTGAGAACGAGAATGGTGCCATCCTGTGGCCGACAGTTTCCTCGCTGCGGCTTAATGCACATTCCACTTGCTTGTAGGAGGGGCGTCGCCGCTGTGGGTTGAGCTTCAAAACGTAAAATAACAAATAATCAACTTTTCATGGAAGCAAACAGTTATTCATAAAATGAACCTGGTAACTCGCCGACAATAGGTAGATTAAAATTGTGAATGCGCAAAAAAAGAGAATTGATGGAATGTAAGCCATAAAAAACCCTAATCGTTGGAAGAAGAACAGAGTACAGCAAAGGAATTAATCCTAGGTCTGCTGAGAAACGAATCCAGTTGAGTTGTAGACTTTACAGGATATAAGCTTGAGAGCTCCATCACCCTTGACCGATTTGGCCTAGCGGCTTTTTTTAAAAACTTAATATTAATATTAATATTAATATTAATATTAAGTCCATCTCACCTAGTTCTCCTGAGCAGCCATATAGTTCTGTCTTAAGGCACATTTTTGAATAGCTCCAGTACTGAGGATTAATTCTCAGGAACTGTGCCTCAATGGGTGGATTGAGCACAACATTCTTAGTCTGGCCATAAGTGGTGGGTCCGACAAGAAGCTGAGGAAGAAATGAACCACAAACTTGTGATACGTTTGTGCCTTGAGAGTTACTTCCACATGTAACCATAGTCTCACCGCAGACAAACAAAAAGGTGCAAACAACTTTTAAAAATCCTTTTCGTTAAATACCATGACTTTTTTTGGTTTACCTTTTCACCGTTCCATGAAGCCAGACTTTTCATGATGTCGCGAACAGTTACAAGTCAGTGGCGGATCCAGACCTTAAGCTAAAGTGGAGGCCCGGTTGTGTGTGTGTGCGTGTGTGTGTGTGCATGTGTGTGTGTGTGTGTGTGTGTGTGTGTGTGTGTGTGTGTGTGTGTGTGTGTGTGTGTACACCTCCTGGCTTTTCTTCCTTCTTATTTTTTAACCAAAATGAGGAAGGGGGCTCGGGCGGGCTCCTCCCCTAGATCCGCCACTGTAAGTTTTGGATATCTTTAGAGTTCCTTTAAAGAAGACACTTACCTGTCCTTTACTGCTACACGGATATCCATCATGAATAAACGAATCCTCCGGACACTAAAGCATATTAAAAATATTATTAGTAGGAATAGTTATTGACAACTTCGAACCCCTAAACTGTTTTCTTCTTGAAAAATTATCTCTTTCATTTTCCTGACGCCCCCATCGTGTGAAAGATTTGTTTTCTATAAACATTTTTGGCGTTATATTGTCAAGGCCAGAAGAGGGTTGTGGTATCGTTTGGTACGTAGGTTTAACAGCAATAAAATATTACTGATTGGAAGGCTATTGGTGAGGCATGATGTGATCTAAAGCATTATTACTTCCGTGCAAAAGGTTTCCCATCAGCACATATCACTGATCAGCCTGAAAAACGTTCCGGTTATCTATTTATAAGAGCTCCTGAGTGGAGGTCGCGAGATCTAAGTGTCTTGCTAAACGAACACAATTGCAACGCTATAGTGACTTTTTCCGAGGATCCTTTGCGTCCATAGAGTAAAGCTGTTTCACTAAATGAATGGATTTCAAATTTGCAAAATGACTGGCATACTTAGTTCACGTGTAACAACACTCTGTATAGTATGTGAATGATTGGTTGTTAATTCTCTTCTCTAGCTGCTACACATCTCCTTAAATATCACGAGATATGAGAATTTGGTGTTCGATCAAGATAATAACTACTTGATAAGTTTGAGTATTCTCATTAAGTGTTTGGCGGACAATATAAGGATATGGTAGGGAGAAGTGAAAGAGTTAATCTGTCAACTACTCACGTCTCCCTTGTCTCCCGGGCAGTACTCTGGTACATCACAGTCGCCTTCACTCGGTCGACACAGGCTCCCGTGTGGTTTAAACTGTACGCCGAGTGTGGTGTGAGGTCGGAACAAAGTCGAACAAAAGATATTTGGATTAAGAGTGAAATGATAAAGATAAGTGATTTGTGGGTTGATTTTACTTGTTCGCGCCCATGGCTTTCATTTCATATTCATTTTGACCTTCTTTTTTTATCGATTTCCTACCCTTCTCACGAGATCTCGGCTAAATATATATAAAAAAATAAAAAAAAAAATAAAAAAAAAGAGATGATAGTCACCAGTCTACCAACTTGTCCTTCTGCGCGAAGTTTGGTCTTTTGTTCAATTTTACTGATTTAACTTTCTTAATTCTTACTGCTTCACTTATTTCAAACTGGTCGCTAGAAACTTTTATATATTGAAGGTCAAAAACAAGACCAAACTCAGCCAAGAAATGCACCACGTGCTAATCTCAAGCGGCCATCGATTTTTTTTTTTTAATCTCAAGCGGCGGCCATCCATTTTATATTCTCCCAGAATTCCTCAGTATATTACATTACGTCATGTGCATGAGATATAACAGAAACCTAGACTCTACGCTAGAGTGAAAACCATCTTGAAACCTAAACACTCCTAAGAACCTCTAACCTTTACGCCCTAAGATAAATATGCCTTCTCTTCATACAATTCTCTATGTACTTTCTTCAGAGCTGGCAAGGATAATTTGTTATTTCCCTTCTTCTTTTGACCGTATTGTTTGGGAGAAATTAGATGCTAGTCAATCTCAGAGTGACATACCAGCAAAAAAGACCCGAGCACAAAGTACTGACCATCTAGTTTTTGCAACCTCCAATTGCAGTTGAACGACTGTATAAAAACGTTAAAAAACCTTTTCTTTCGCCTCAGTTTTGACAGCCCCAGCTGTCATTTTAACGATAGAAACTTACCGCGCATTCTTGACAGCAAGCGTGATTTAATATACTGCACTGAGAGCCCGGCTTAAGTTTGCAGCCTTTTGGTTGACAACACGGATCCAACTCTAGGCAATCCTGATGTAGGAATAAGAACAAACAAGCAAAGATAAACAAATGAGCCATAAACAGTGGCGGATCTAGGGAGGAGCCCGCCCACGGGGTCCGTAACCCCTGCCCCCCCCCCCCCTTAGGTCTGGATCCGTCACCGGTTAAAGAGCACGTCCACCAAACTAGTGTGGTCTACCGTCATTTTGGCTTAACTGAGTTGTGCGAGATAAATTTTCATGTGCAAGACTAAATCTGTTGAGATCAGACAGGGGTTTTGGTTGTCGTGGCAACCGGTATAATCACAAAATTGCTCTCACCTCTTCGGTCCCACAATCACATTCCTCTCCTTGTTCCACAAGTCCATTTCCACATCTTGATTTTATTTCCTAAAAGAGGCAATTTATGGGGAATTTTCAGGACAACGTTCAAGAAAACCTTTCGTGATAAAAAATGTCACAAAAAAGTTTGAATGATGACCTCTACCGACCCTCACCTGCATTGCGTGACTCCCTTATCTAACCTATTTTAGCTTAAGACTGTCACGAAATCCACTTGCGTTAATTAAAGCACATTCTATTGTAATTTAAACATGAAAATATCGAATGAGTACTTTAAAAGAACTCCAAAACGACTACTGCGTAGGTTTTCTTACCAGGTATTGTACAAAGACTAAGCAGTGGGTTATTTTGACGTACAGATATAACCCTTCTCATTGCACGCTCGAGCAAACATTCCATAAATATCCCGAACCGGTTGGGGTCCACTCTTATCAGAAATTTGTGTACTTAGCCAGCGTTGTGAGTGGCCTTGGTTCTGACCGAAAAACAGAGCGATTGTCACTCTTAGTCTAATTTTTCGAACATTTTTAGCGGGTTTTTATGAAAGTAAGCCTCGTTGGGGAATATTTTACTGGGTTTATTCCTCAAGACGAAACAGAGATTTGTAGAAAACGAATCCACTTGAGAGACGCTTCGTGACCCAGATGAGTTGATCAAAGATATGTTACTCTGATCGAAACTCTCATCTTTTCATTCATGTTGTATTCAACGACTTTTAATATTATCATAGTTTATAAGTTGTTTTTATTTTAGGAAGAGTGTCAAGTTCACCTTAAGTTTGCAACAACATTTCTCGGCGTGATTTCTGTTATCAAAGGTTACCCAGTTAATTACAACAGTGTTTAGATAGGGGGGATTCCTTTCATTGATAACATCTATTAAATCAATTGTTTTGTGACTCTGATTGGTTAGTTGTGTTATAAATGACAACATTATCGGTGGGCATCAAAATTAAATGTTTTTACGCAAATTATTTTTTTCTTCTTTTGTTGATAATAAAAAAATTCGAGGCAGCCGGTGTAGCGTCATTCAGTCAAGCCCTTCGAGTGATCAGCTTAACAGACCTGCGGTGAGGAAGAACTCTGTAGTCATGTCGAAGATCAGTGAAGACGAAATGTCTGAGTTCAGAGATGCTTTCACTTTTTTTGATCGCATCGGAGATGGCAAAATTGATTCCGATCAGGTTGAGGATGTGCTTCGAGCCATGGGGTTGAATCCACTAGGAACCGATCTGAAGCAAGTCCGAGAAGACTTCAAGGATAAAAGAGTGGAATTTGAGGAATGGCTTGGAGTCTATACTCAGTTCAAAAGCAAACCAGAGCCAGTCAGAGAGGATTTCATTGAAGGATTCAAATGCTATGATCGCGATGGTACAGGCACAATTGATGGTGCATCGCTGAGGGGTCTACTATGCCTGCGTGGAGACAGCAGATTGACTGATGACGAGGCAAACGAGTTACTCGCCCCGGTGGAAGATACACAGAAAGGTGTGATTAATTACGAAGAAATCATCAAATTGGTAATGTCCAAGCCAGAGAAAGTATAATGAGAGGTGAAAGTGAATAGGACTTTGCTGTATTCATTTCTTTTCAAGAGTGCTTAAGGTTTAAAAACTTTGACAGACCTAGGAAGGATGTTATTTTCTAACATTTAATTAAAATTAATGTTTTCTTTGCATTTTTTGGCTGATAAATGTTTATAATTGTAGCTTTAAAAGAAAAGGCGGTAATCTTTGGACCGACAGTCTACGAAACACGGATATGTTTGCACGCTCTTAACATTATTTCTAAGCATCTCCTAATTTGGAAACTACGGTATAATTCTTTCCAAATGAGCTCTTTACCGAGGTAGTATTAGTGGAAATAAATATTTTTTTTAAAAGCGACTTTACTTTCACTGTATTCCTTTACTTTAAGAATCAGTTGTGTAGCATTTAATGTAATTTTAACAGTCTCGATTACAGCGAACAATGACCGGCTTTCAGTAGCTGGGTGTGACTGAACAGTATTCTTATCACAAGCATTGAATGTTTCGAAACTAAAGTAAACTGCTTTGTTGCACTCTGATTTGACTTAATCATTTCGTATCTGTGATGTACATTTATGGTTTCAGGGCATAAAAATTACTTTTTAATGAGGCAGAGATTTCGTGAGAGTAACAGATTGTTTGCATGCGGATAGCAACCGGTTACGCTACCGTAATCAAACATTTGCCCTCGGGTATTAACTGACCACAAGTCCTCATTTATTAAAATAAATTAGACCTGTCTAATTAAATACGCAAAGCGACAGTGTGACTAAAACATAAAGTTGAAATGGCTTTTGAGGGTGCCAACAAAGCTAACTTTATGGAACACTGGTCTTGATACTCGCTAATTTTGCGAACTCTTAGAGTTCAATGAGGCGTTAGTGGAAATAATTAGGACATTCAAAGATCGGCAGATTTCTTTAACAACCGGAACTTTGAGGCAAGTTATTAATTAGCTTTTCCCTCTTAGATAACGTAGCGTATATTTATTTTAGCATACTTGCCCCAGGGGGTGGGAGAGGGAGGGCAGCGAGAAACAGTAAGTATATGGAGGGTAGGGCGGGGAGGCTTCCGAAAAAATTTCGGCAAGATCCACTATTTTCCATAGTCTGAAATCGCTATCCAATGCTGAATATTCCCTCTAAGAAATGTAATTGAATGAGAAGTCTTGAGAGGCCAGATTTTTTTCTAGTGTATTGATATCACTATAGACCACTTTCATAAATGGCGTCCGGATTAATATTCTTTTGTTTAAATTTAAACAAGCCCTTCTGGCCTCGTTCTCCAGTACAAAATTCAAAAGAATACATTATCTCAAGCGAGGCCAGAAGGGCTAATTTAAATTTAAACAAAAGAATATTAGTCTATCAGCCATTTATGAAAGCGGTCTATAAGCTCACCGCTTGTGGACGGTCGTACAAACAGAAGTCGTTCAACTCTGCAAGACTTTTCATACTGCAGTCTGAGAATCCTGCAACGCGAGTCCTGTCCGATAAATGTTGCAAGAAAAGTATACAGTTAGCTTTTGCACCAAGTGTTTACAATTTCTCTTAATTTGTCAGTTAAGAGGTACTTTGGGTTCTAAGCAAAGTAGTTGCTATTCGCCCCTCCATTCGTAATAGCATGAAGGTCTATCTCAGGCTACCCCCTCCCTCCCTCCCCTGAATTCCTCCTGAGAGAAGGGGGGGAGGAGTTCAACATCTTGCAACTTGCATCATGGACTCAACAGGTATCTTACATTCCGTATCTTTTATTTCCCAATTTTTTCTTGCCTATTTCCCATCTTTATCTCGGGTCAAGATACCATTTTTACCGCACTGGCAAGGTTTCCTATCTTCAACTTTTATCATTTATAAAGAATCGCAATGATAGTTTGATTTTCTCCATCAAGAGAGAACGAAGGACAAAAAAAACTTACTTGTGTCCTCCCATGATACAACCTCTAGGGGTCAGACAAGTACATCCACCAATTTCTGACAAGCAAAAATTTAAACACATGGACGTAGATATAGTTCATTAGCGCAAAGCTATCCATAATAACTTTGACTCAACTCTACCTCTTAGACGTTTTATTTGGTGACTTGATCCCCATCTTTCATAATTATTACAATATATGTCCCTTTTAAGTCACCACTAAGTACTTTTTCAGCTCATTGACAAGTGCAGAGTAAAGGAATAATCAGATAGTATTCACTGACCTTCATCGTGGTCCATTCCAAAGTTATGTCCCATCTCATGGGCCGAGGCTATCCAAGGTCCCACAGAGATGTAATGGTCCCACTACAAGAAAGAAATTAATCAAAGTATTCACTGCACCTACTTCACTCCTAAGTTTAGAATCCTAAACAGAGTCAACTCTACTGTTTAGAATCATAGCAAAATGAGAGTTAAACCAAACAGCGAGAAACTGTATAGTGCCCGATAAAGTAATTACAAAGTAAATTCGCACTGAAGAATAGTCGAACCCTAAGTATTTCGCTCTGACGAAGGGCTAACACTCGAAACATCGGAAAGAAACTCTTTACGGCGGCCAACTTACATTATCAACTCAGTTGATAAAACCATATTACCCTGTTGCCCTCTTCGACGCAGCACCACAGTTTCTTAAGAAACTTACCCCCTTGATTCAAAATAAAAGAAAGTTGATTACCGCAACTATTCCTGACGAATCATCGGTACACATGCCATAGAGCGCAGCCATTCCTGCTGCATCAGTCCAGCTGTTGTTGCTGCAACGAGAAACAGGGAACTTACTACGGATTCTCACTGTATAGAATCATTGAAATTCGTAGACCTTGCTAAGGTGTTTTATAAATACATGAGATGGGTGGTCATTCTGACTTCGATGAATATGGATAAAAAATAGATTGAACTATTGGTTTTTGTTTGCGTTTCTTGGATTCGGAGTGGCTGCTTGGTAGTGTCTGGGATTTATTTTTCTTTATTATCTAAAAGAAGTTGAATATATTTTTTGTGTTTTTGGATAAATTTAAAACTATATCATTATTTATTATTATCATTTATGTTATATCATTGTTTTGAGACACGAACCCACAAGCCTCTGGCTTTAAACATTTATCGCGTTTAGATAAATTTTTCTATTATTATTACTAGATACAGGTTAATCCAAAAGAGTGACCAAAAAAATCAGACCAAAGAGTGACCAGAATTTAATTTCTCATTACAATAATGACCGCTGAATCATTCATTAAAATCGTGAGTATAAAGGAAATGATCACCAACTTAAGAAGTTTTGATTGTTAAACAAATTCTCCTTGACAGTACCAAAGGGAATGTATAGAGAACAGTATGGAGAATATGTGGGCTGATGTTAGGGTGCGTAAAGGGATAAGCGAGTACAATAGCATAAGTCTGTCCACAAGAGAAAGATGCCCGTCGCGACAGACCATCAAAGATTGAGCGAAATACTAAGATAAATTTACGCCTAATTTAGTTACAAGACCGTTATGAGCGTTCTAGTTCGCAAATGACCTTTAATCCAGCAGAACTTTATACGCACCACATTAGCTGTGCATTATCGTGATCAGGGAAGGTTTTCTTCAGCGTGTTCTTGCGATATTTTGCGAATCTTTCATAATACACAGTAGCTGTTTCATTTCTGACAATTTTGTCTCCATTGTTCCAGAATTCCAGCGCAACCAACACCACTCTGATGTTTATTTTGCTGTAAATCTGAAATGAATTCCTTTCATGTTTAAGATTGCTCATTATGAATATTATCTTTCTGCCAAAAAAGAGGAAACACGGCGGGGACAAGTAAAGATGAGGCTGTGAAGCTTTATGTAACGGTGAATTCTGACTAAGGTCCCCAGCCTGTTCCAGAAGTTCATTTAGAAGCTGAACAGTTGACGGCGCGATAGTTGTGAGAGAGTGGGAACGAGGGAGGGGAGGGTCCGTAATTCATTTGCTTACCTTATCAACAGCATTGACTAGAGTTATCATGCGGTTGGTTACTTCTTCCTCTTCGTTTCCAAAATAGTTATACTGTTAAAAAAAAAATTGAAATAAGTATGTAGAGCTTTTATCTTTCGGCTGGGGCAGTGGCACAGAATTGTTCCGGGACATATCTGAAACATTCGAAGATAACATTTTCATTTCTCACCAAATTTTTGTCCACAGTTATCACAAGTTCTGTGTATCTGGTCTCGGCCGTGGTGAAGTAAGGGCGATAGAATTCGTCAATTCCTCGACGAACCTGATAATTTAAAAAATCATACAAACAAATTTAGTATAACATAACTTACGTTTTTATATTGATTTTAAGTTTTTATACAATTGTACATCTGACTCCACTATTCGACATTTCTAAGGACACTTGGTTTTGTGGCTCAAAAACAGATCACTTCAATTACCCTTCGAGTTGTTTGGTTACCACCGTGGCCATAATCCCATGACTTTTTTCCGTTGGCCTTTACATTCTTCGGGTGAAATGTGCCTACGATTGAAAAATGCCGTATTGTGGTGAAAAGTTAAAGACTCAAGGAACTGAATGGCATTTTCAAGTTTATTCTCAAAGTTCGCCTTTTGTTGTTGATGAAGTCGCCTTCGCTGTAATGGTAGTGGTTGCTGTTGGCGAGAATGTTGTCGATTACCCATCCTAATTATAAAGGAACGTTGGTCGTCATCTAACTTGGGGCTTTTCCTGCTATAATTGGCTGAAACTGGGTGTTCACCATATTTTTCTTTAATCTAGTATCTGTTAAACTTGTTCAAAGTTCTTTATGCGTGATTGGGGAAAGTTAGGTATGGTTACTACTTACTGTGACAAACTTTGTCCTTCTTACTGAGGGGCTTTGTTCGATAAATCTTGTGTACTCTGTCTGACTAACAACGAAAAAGTGGGAGACATGCATATTTAAAAAACCAAAGAAAATGAGACGACTCTAAAGAACAAGAGCTCGTACTTTTGGTCATAGCTTTTAAAAGGTCTCTCAGACAACACCAGCTAGTGTTACATCACAAGTGAAATCTCTGCGGGTTCATTTTTGGAACTTTAGCGTTGTGTTTGAGGGTTAGAAATGTTAGCCCAAAAAATAATAAATTTTAGTCGTTGCCTCATAGTTCCTCTTCTTGAAAAGAATCGTCTCACCCAGCCACAATCTGAAACGCCTCCACATTGTCACATCAACATTTGGGACGTAAGCAAGTTCTTTTATCACGGGGTTCGTTTGCTAACATGTTATTAGAATTTGGGAGGCCTTCCAAGCTGTTTTGTTGTTATAGATTGTCCCTTTGTCTTGAAAAAGTAGGAAGTCACAGGCATTCTTGGATTAAGCCTTTGAACTTGTCTTATTTCTGTGTATTGTGCTAGGATAATAAGACGGTATGATATACCTTATACGCTACGGGTTCCACGTATACTCTCTCCTTCCCATCGTCGATATAACCCCTGGAGTTGAACAGAGAGAAAGTGTCTTCCACACAGTGAATTGAATAGTCCTCAATTGAACTATACAAAGGAGCTTGAAACGGTTTTAAGCGGGTAAAAAGTTACCTTAATCCCTTACAAGTGCTGATTACGGCTATGGATTCTTCGTTGCCTCGGATTTTTCCGTGGTAATGGCAGTTCTCCGGTCTAAACTATAAGATGTAGGAATAGGTGACCAACGGGAAAGCAATTTAGTTGGGTACATAAGTATCCCCGAGTCTCCCGGGCGTTTTTCATGTAACAATTGTTGTAATCTCTCTCCTCCAACCACATCTTTTATTATGATCCGGCTAGGGGCAGGGAGATGGGACCGGGAGAGACAGGGGAGCGGGATATATATCCATAGACTACCTTTCCAGGAAGTTCCGCTGGGCAAAGTCATGTGAACAGTCTTCGCACAGTTTTTTCGGCGTTCCTTTTTAAGAGTATGTTTATGGGAAGATATCTTGACATTTGCCTCAGGTACAACTTGTCACAATACACTCCATAGTGTTAAGGTTCCCGGCTTACCGTTCTCATCACGGGTGTATCGTCCTCCTCGAAGGATCTCATCATAAATGAACGAGATACAAGTTCCCTGGAAAGAAAAAAATTAAACAAAATCTGCCCCACTCTAACTTTAGGCGAATTCATAGTTGATTATTTTACTCACTTGTTTTGATGCAGATCGACAATGTGCTCACCGCTGGGTAATGGGATAACAAAGCTCACCTCACTCATGTGATCTTCCTGCGCATGTCACAAGACTGATTATTAGTAAAACTGTGTACGTAGCCCCGGATCACACGAATCGTTTCTCATCAAATCAGAGCCTGATTGGTCATACTGTGGTGTTCCTGAATAGGACACTGAGATCATGGAATCCTTGTTTCAAGTTTAACCATGGTTGTTTCTTGTGCATGAGGGTTAAGATAGTAAGCACTTAGCAAGCGTGCAGGGACCTTCACTCGTAACCCAGACGTCATTCACCATACTTAAGAGCAAGACACAAAATTCTTCATTAATATACTCACGTCCTCTTTAGTAGATACACTTTCTTTGATATCACCATTTTTCAAGAGTCTTCTGGGATATACCATTTTTGCACTGTTGGGGTCCATTTCCTCTCCAGGAATCTTGAACTTCTCGCCTCCAGCTTCTATCGGTTAAAATTATTCACACTTTCACTCCCGATTTCTCAATCTTAATTCTTCTGACTTCTAGCGATACATTTCTCATTATATTATCATGTTATAATTACCACTGAGAATTTAGAGTCAAATCAGACTATGCAACATCCGGCTGTATATATTTTTCTTCGTTCTTAGCACCTGTATGCAAGAAAATTTTCCGATATTGTTCGGAGAAATTACTTGCTGATCAGACCTAGGACTTTAAGGCGATTGCGCACACAGAAAAAGAACACCTGATTGGAGGTTGGGTAATACCACGACTCTTGGTATTACCGAGTAACCTGCCAAAAAAAAAAACATGGTTTCCAAATTGTATTTTATTTTTTGGCGGAAAAGTGTGTAGTGTGCGTGTGTTAAGTAACTGAAAACGAAGAAAAAAGAGTCCATTTTATTTCGAACCGAGGACATGCTGTACTAAAAAAATATATATTTATACAGTAACTAATCGTTGTTGAGTATACCTGTGATGATGCAAGCACACAGCAGAAGAATTCCATGAATGCACGCCATAGCGTTCAACCAGGTCACTGTTTTTCCTCCACCGAGCAGAGGAGAAAAAACGGCCAGAAAACTGTTACACTGGGAAAGTAAGGAAAGGGATTTCATTCATGCAGTAAAATTTCGAGGGATTCCAGGATTGATAGATTTTGGTATAAAAACTCACCATGACCATTGCGATTTTTCTTTTCCCTGATTATATGGAATAACTGAGTATGAACTGCAGGCGGAATTGGTTTCAACAGTTGCAAATTAACCCTTTATACGCCCTAACATCAGTACGCTATTCAGTCTATAAATTTTCTAAATACGAAGGTAAACTTGTTTAACAGCTTTCAAGAGCCTCTTTATTTAGTAGGTGATAATCTCCTTTAGTGTCATGTTTTTCGGGGTGATATTGTAAGAAGACCTTTAACTCTGGCTTGATTTTAAAAGCCGCTCCAATTATCAATTCATTCCGTGAATAAAGTCTTGCTTGCACCCAGCTTTTATTTCTGTTTCCACGATATTGCACGGTAAAATATGAGGTTTGTTTTTGTGACTCCCGGTGAGTTTTGTTGGTCGGACCTCTATAAATCGCTTGATTTCTTGAAAGAAAGCTGACAACCAATCATATTTTTGATGTTGCCTTCACTTAAAAACGATCTCGCTTGGCACTTCAACCAGGACACTTATAATCGAGATTACTTACCAGAGCCGTCGATGTTTGCTTTCTGGCGTCCTAGTCTTTTCAACAACGCGTTTTATAAATCAGCGGCCTTACAACGTTCCCCAACTAACACTTCTCTAAATTGTGTTCTGTACCACGTGCAAAGTACTGGTAACAAATTAAAGGATAACAAAGAGACAAACAAACCGATAATTTCTATCCAAAAATTAATCAAATGAGCAATAACTGACCAACTAAACGACCAACATTAACGGGTGTCTTTCCTTTTATTTCAAGTGTACCATGTTGATAAGAAGCAGGTCTAGGCATATTGTATTCTCTTTGATCGTATGTTGTTCCGAAGTCTTGAAAATGCTTTAAACTGCCAATATCTTGACAACATGTTAAACTTAAATTTGTAGAATACTTAATTGTGTGTATAGGGTGACAATTTGGTTTACAGAATCGAAAAGATGACAATTACAAAACAACGCACACTGTCTTTAATTATACCAAACATGTTTGGTTTAACTCAATTACGTCGCCGACAAATGTTCTAGTGGCAATATTGTCAAGACAACAGGTCGCTTATTACTCGGCTGTTTTGAGCAATCAGCTCTCTGTTTCAAAATATTAAAGAATTTCTTGTTTTACATTGTCACATTTAACCCTATGATCTGAGTCTGTCGCTTGTGCCGCATACAAATCCCCTTGTTTTTTCAACCTATACACGACTATCCGTATGTGATTTTGCCGTATTCTTAAGGACTTGAGAAGTTTTTATCGCAAAAATCAAGAAAGAAACTTGCTGCGTTGTATCTTTGATAGTAACAATGTGCATTCAATCTGTGCGTACGTTAAGGAAACCCTTGTTTGCCAATAGTTACCTTTATCTAAAATGACCAACGCCCTTTTAATAGAAAAAAAAGTATCTTGCTATTAACGAATGACTCTTATCGTTCATCCTTATTACTATGCGCTCTCAAAGCTGAGAATCTTGTTTGTTCTAAATATTCAATAGCCTCTTTTGACTGTTCAAACTCAAGTTTTAGCTTTAATGCAAATAGATTTTTTTCCCACGTCTACGAGCTCTGAATTTTGTTGTATGATTTTGGGGCTTAGAATTTAAAATAATTTTGAAATTCTATGGGCTACCTCCTACTCAGCCAATCAGGTGATCATTAGCCAAACAGGGCGTGCAAGCAAAAAGTATTGTGGTGTGCAGACATATTTTTCCCGAGTAGACCCTCTTAATTAGCTTTATTTGTTCGTATATCTTTATTTTCTATCGCTGATATGATTATTTTTTTCTACTTTTGCTATTGCTTGACCTTTGCTGTTCAGACACGCCAGAAAATCGCTGTATGGTCTGCACTAATTCTTCCATTTGCTTCGCTTCCCGCGACTATCAGTCATGTCTCTTTATCATGAGTCGTAAAGCTTAGTCTTCTTGAGATAGATGGGCGCGCGCGTTTATTCGAGTATGTGATGTAGAACTTGTATATGACGTAGAACAGTTGTTTCCTGGATACTTGTTGTACGGCGTTATCTCGCCCCACAAAACCAGATGAGAATCACAGTTTAACAGAAACGTTGTTTAGTCTTACAGACTCTAATAACATGGCGACAAGAAAGATTCCGCGCAAGGACGAGCAACTTCTAAAGAAACTAAACTCAATTCTGGCTCTGTATAAGAGTTTCCAACATGACGCCGATGAGCGAGATAAACTTATCATTATACAGGCATTGGATGATCTGCGCAAGATTCTGACAGGGACGTACATCTCCAAACCTATGAAGGCAAATGACGCGTCAGAGATTGAACTGATTTTAAAAGATCTGAACTGTCACGTGAAAGCAATGGCGCTGGACGAATTGTTCGATGAAGTAAATGACATGAAACTTAGATTGGACGTAGTAGAGAAAAGGTTTGAACTTGAAGATACTAGAAGACATCCAAAGATATATTTTCGCGATGAGGGTGAGTTGTAGCCTTATCATTGTTATGATAAAAGGCTTTATGTATTCAATGTTAAGTCACTTCTGCTATCACCAGCTCCCTAATGATTTTGTGGTCGAAATTCTGAGTTACTCCGAGATACAAGCTATATTCATGTTTCAAAGTAAAGTATTGAAATACAGAGTGACTGACTGATGAAATGAACGTCCGTCCGAGCGATTAAAAGGCCGTTTACACGGCAGAAAAATCGGGTACGGATGTGTCAAAAAAGTAGTACGGACCGCATCATTTTAG